AACGCAGAAGCAGCAGCTGGTAGCTATGCACCAATGTGCCTGGTGCTAAAAAAGGAAGATGAAGCATTTAAATTAATGCATTTGCAATGCCCAATGTTTGCACATGGTGGTTCAAGGCAAGGAACCAGTCAGGGTGAAAACTAAGGCAGGACTTCTGGGAGCCATGTAGCCTACTTTCAGTCACCTAAGGGCAACTAAATACCTCACTCCAGTACTTTGTTTTGTACGTGTCATCTCATTCTTTAGTCTGTTTTTTCAAAAGTGCCTTGGGGGAACCATAAGCTTAAATTAGTTTGTTCAGTGATTATATGGACCGCAGCTTTCCATGTTGTCTTCCTCTGTACTAGCACACCATAAGAGCGATTTTGCTCAGGTAACCCATCTCAGTGGCAAGCTGCCTCAGAAGATACGTAAGAAGTCAATTTTGGAAGCCAGGGTCATTTTTGTACAGAAGCCAGCAGGCTTCTGAGATGTGTAGATTGAAGGCACTGGTACTCCAATGGTATTCCTCTACATTAATTCCACGTTGCTTGGGGAAGATGCTTGAGAAAGATGTCAAACAGCAGCTTTTCACTTTTGTATTCTTTTCGTTATCATTTGCCTAATATAAGACAGGGAAATTTCATGCTGGGGATGCCTGTCTGTGAAAAGCCTGTACAACACAGAGGCAACTCTTTCAGATAAATAAATTTCAAATTAAAATATTGCTTTTGCATAAGAAAAAGCCCAGGAAACTGAACCACATCTTCCTAGCAGCATGAGGTCAGGACGAATATTAGCACAGGCCAGAGAACCACAAGTCCCTGTAATACCTGCGTATGATGGATGAGCTTTGCAGCTGGCTAGAAAAAAAGTGAGTGCTGAGTCAAATTGCCCCTTCCTTGTTTTTACATGTATGGGTTGCTTTCCCCTCCTCAAAAACCCGAGACAGCAAGCAGTGATTGGTGTATTGGGGTGTTCTGAGCCAGCAAGCTACAAAGTTAATGGACTGCTTTTTAGGGCATGGTGACCCATAGGAATGAGCAGGAGTTAACAACATGCTTCTTTTATAGACGTTGTATTTGGATGGAGATCACATGCCTTTATTATTATATAACTTCAGGGATATAACGTGGCATCTTGTTTCTGTCTGTTTAGGGCCACCACACTCCCCCTAAGATTACATGTATCCTCTATTTTTGGTCACTCTCCAGCTCAAATTAGAGTGCTTTCTTCCTTCATTTAAGGAGGAACTGTTCTTTTCTAGATTTATGCAGAAAAATCAGCATATGCATTTGCCTGGATTTTTCTTCTGCATTAATATGTCACAATGCCCATAGCAAAGGTGAGCATAAGGAACTAGTAAGTTCGGACTCTCTGGGAGGGTGTGAAGATACAAGTTGTCTATTCTTTTCAATTGTATCCAGTCCACGCAGGCCGGATCAGTATAATGTTTCTGCTAAAGCATCAGCTTGAGGCATCTGTTACAGAAACAAAAGGCTGCTGCAAGTCAGAGAAGTGACTGGGTAAGAGAATGAGTAGCAGGGAGAAGGTGAAGTCCTGTTTTTTTAATGCCTTTCTCTAAGATAGTTGCTGAAATCTGTGAGAGGTGCCTGCCTCTATTCACATCTCAAAATCTCCTTCAGAAAAGCACTCTAACAAAGAGGATTCTGTTCAGTAGATGATATCACTGCTGCTTGTGACTGACAGGTTTCACTCAGTCTGCAAATTCCAGCAGGCTGAGAAGCAATAGCAGGCTGAAGGATCTTAGCACCAGGGAGGAGAGAGCTACAGAGACAGTGCAGAATACTCTGATTCTCGTTGGCTGGTGAAAAATGCAAGAGATTACATTTGACATAGTCTTGCTTTACCCTCAAAGTTATGAACAAATGCTGTCAAAAAAGTGTCTGTCACATGGATTAAGTTAATGAACGCCACATGAAATAAAAACAGAATGGATGATCCAAGGTCATCCTGTATTCTTTCTCAAGAGTTGCATTTCAGCTAGAGGAAAACGCTAGGCTAAATTAATGGCTGGTACAAACAGATGTGTTCTCTTTGAAATAAATGCACCCACTTCTGCTCTGCCTGCATTAAGTCTGTTACTGAGTTTTTATGAGATTTGGCAAGTGCAGTGCTATCTGTTAATATCTGAAGGTGGGAGTGTTCAGGGAGTTGTCTGAAAGGCTTGCAAGACTAGATCTGATCATATCCACCCACACTAATTAACACATTACATAAAAGTACAACGGGTTTCACTTTGCAAACATCAGAATCGCTTGCCCAGGCACTTTCTGTAAAGTTCTAGAAGAACTAAAGAGATGGACTCCGTCACGTTTTAACCTCAGCAGAACAATGGATGAGTCGGTAGGATACAGCTCCACTTGCAGGGCTGACTCCTTTTCTTCATCCTGCTAAAAACAGGCCATCAGCAGGGATACAGCTGGGAGGACCTTTTTAAAGTTCACCAAGGGTGCATGAAGGAACATAATTCTTTTTTTTTCCTCATCAAAAACAAAATACAAAAACAAATATTGAACACGAGGAATCAGATTTACTTACAAAGGATGACTCCTCTCCCTGCCCTGCCTCACCAATTCTGAAAATTACTTTGTACAAACACCAGTCTCTGAAAACACCTGGAACTGAAAAATCCTCCCATTTAGATAGGGTCTTTTTTATGTCAGGAGAACATATGTCCCAAAAGGGCTAACATTTCTCTATCATTCAAATTTTAAAACAGCAGCAATCTCCTGTATAAAAACAATAGCAAGAGGTCTTCTTCATAGATTGGAGCAAGTAAAACTAATTTAATATGAAACTTCAATGACCTGCTCCTACAGCTTCACCTAGATTCCTACAGCAGGATAATAAATATATACCCTGATTTCCATTTACTCCAGACTCTTGGTATGACATCTGGCTTCAAGATGGTGGCACTGAAAAGTGCAGTAATGACACAGGAAGACAGAATAGGGGAAAAAAAAAGTGGTGCAGTGGAAAGCAGGAGGCAGTGGAGAGAGCAGGGAAAACCAAAATTAAAATAAGTCAAAGGGCGGAAATTCCTTTGAGAAGGCCTTAGGCTTCAACAAAGCTTGTCGACATTTGCAGCACTTCAAGATTACCCAATACTAACCTTATGTGAAAAAGGACAGTAGACCTCAGCAGGCATTCCAGAGGAGCCTTTCTATTTAAAAAAAAAGTCTTCAAATGTATCCATCCAAATTTGCAAGCAGCTCACTGGATGGAGAGCATTCTGTCCCGCAACTCTCACAAGAGAAGAAACTCTCTTACCCAACTCTTCCTTACTATCTGAAAAGCAAAGTCAATGTTTTCCTCATTATTTTCTGTTTGCTGCATACCTCTCCCCCACTGTGACTGCTATTTGACCTGTTGTCCGCTCA